TATTATGCATATTTAGCTCATGTTTATCCCTAACTTGCTCAACAGCTAAATCAATGACATTTAAACCCATGAATGCAGAATTATCAAAGGGGTAACACATAGCTTCATTCATATTAAAAGTTACAACATGTCACCGACTTCTATTGTTATATAGTTATGTTTTATGCCTATGATGGTTTTGGAAGTTTGCAGGAAAGGTTTTCCCAAAATCAAAGTGCTTTCATTTGCAAGTTCATTTGACATGTCTAAAACATAGAAATAAGCAGGGAATATTAAGTTCTTGACTTGAACTAGAATGTCTTCTACTATGCCTTTAGGATACCTAATAGACTGATCTACTAGTTGGAGTACTGCACTTATGTTTTTAATCCCATTTATCCCTAAGGCCAAATAAACTGACCAAGGCATGACATTTATAGCAGCTCCTAAATCTAACAATGCTCCTTTAAACCTTTCCTATGATACAGGAGATGGCATAGGATCCAGGGTCTTGGCACTTAACCAATAGCTCAGCTTTGAATAAGGATGGCACATTAGCACTCACCTGAATTCTCTTAAGGGGCCTAAATCTTTGCTTGTCATTACACAATTCTTTCAACAATTTGAAATATTTAGGGTTTCCTCTTAAGAATTAAATGATAGGCACATTGATTTCTAGTTTATTAAATAAAGTGTAAGTATCAATGGCAAATTCAGCATCAAACTTCTTCTTGCTAGAAAAATAAGCTTTAGGAAAAGGAGGGTCTTTAGTATATACCTCCTTACCTGTTGGCTTAGAGGCTCCTTTTGTGCTAGTCTCTGTCTTGTCCTCTTTTTGTTTTCTTTTGTAAGCTGAGATTGTCCTCTTTTTTTTGCTTTTGTAAGCTGAGCTCTCCACAGTGCTTTTATCTTCTGGCACAGCTTCATAAGGTACTTGGTCTTATGCTTGAGTTCTTCTCTTCTGGGTTAGTTTGTGCTCTTGTCCTCATCATGAGATCTTCTTCTTTTGAGCTCTTAGATTTTCCAAACCTCAATTGGGAAAGTGGAAGGCTTTCTACATCTTAATTAACTTCAGACCTATCTATCTGTTTACACTCAAAATAAACCTTTTTACCACTTCTTAAAGTTATGGAGTTGAGGGCTTTAGGGTTAATCATTGTGTTGGGAGGAATACTGCCCCTACTTTTGGCTTGTATGTCATTGAGCGTATTAGATAGTTGGGTCAAATGACTGGTGATGTCGGTGTTCTTTAAGGTAAGCTCCTCCAACTTCTTGTACAGATCTAAGTTGTCCTTTTGTATCCCTTGCAAGATGGTAGTTATAGAGATGAATTTATCATCACTCTCCTTTATTCGCCCCTCTATGTTTGTCATCTGTGCAGCCATGCTCTTCAAGAGTTGAGAAGTGTCATCCCCTCTTGGCAGTAGCTGAGATACCATAGCATTTTGTGGAGTTGTCACTACTACTCTTGAAGGATCTTGAAAATTGTTTAAGGAACCTCAACATTGTGAAATTGATTGCCTTGGAATTGATTTGGTCTATTTGCTCCTCCATGCCATTTAAAGTTTGGATGGTCTCTCAACCGGGGTTGCATGTATTTGAGTAGGGGTCGTTCTTCTGATATTGCCCCTTTCTTCCTTGGTACACAGCATTTACTTCTTCAACTGGCCCAGGACAATTTTAAGTTGTGTGCATTGGAGAGTCACAAACCCCATAACTTGTACCCACTAAAGCAAGAAACTGTGGCTTGTTGGAGCGGAGACTCTCAATATTGTTTGCAAGCTTGGACATGTCTAGTGCTAACTTAACCAACAATAGATCCCTTTCAGTTTTACCGTCCCTTGGATCCCTTAAGCCTACATGTTGTCGGTTAAGAGTAAAAGTTCTTATTAATTCCCATGCAGCTTGTAGTTCCATATTCTCCATGGATCCATTCGCAGTGGCATCCAACACTTGTGCATCATTTGTCAATAATCCATTGTGGAAATACTGTATCAAGTGCTCCTCCAGAATTTAATGATTGGGGTACCTGGTAAGCATTTCTTGAAACCGGCTCTAGAATTCAAAGAATGACTCGAACATCTCTTACTTAGTTCTAGAAATTTCCTTACAGGTTGTCACATCCAGCAGAAGGGTGATTAGGAATAAGGAATATTCCTAAATAATTAAGGGTCAAAAATAACAAGAAGAAATAGAGGAATTTTGGTGAAAAATAATTATTATGGTTTTTCAAGCTAATTATAAAAGTTTGACTAATTAAGAAAAATTGGTCAAGAATAATTATGAAAAAATATTTTCAAGTTTTGAAAAATTAAGGAAAAATAAGGATAATATCCTTTGAGAATTATATGGGATTATAAAATTGGTTTCATGACCAAATTACCCTTAGAAAAATTAGGGAAAATGACAAGAAAATGACTGTTGAATTCTGAAATGACAAAATGGGCATGTAAATTACTGAAATGACAAAATGGGCATGGCGTATCAATCTGGAATTTGGATAATTCGCCAAAAAGACTGAAATGCCCCTGAATCAGTCTGAACTCATGAAGACAAAGGCATGACACGTAACAAGAGGGAGAGATCAGAAGCTGAAAACGGAGGTGGAGCAGAGTCAAACGCTGAGAAGACAGAAAAGGTAAGGAAAATTTCTCCTAAAATGCTGTTATCTACTCCTCCAACTCTCACCATTGTACAAATCTAATTTATTACGGTGGAATTGCTTTGTGGGCAACCTGGTTTGTAGTGAGAGAGGGGTTGAACGTGGGTATTACATAAGAAAGTGGAGCTTAATGATGGGTTTGGGTTTTCAAGTCGGTTTACTGGTACATGGTCTAATGGGGATGGGTTTATGAGTGTAGATGGTTTAAATGAAGAATCTGACCAGGATGAGAGAGTGATACATCGAATATGGTAAAATGGTGGGAACTGATAACGTGGGCATGAAGTTTGAGGGCTAACAATAAGCATGAGGTGGTCAGTGTTGTCAAATTCATTATTGGAATTGTGAAATCCCATATTTAAGTTGTCAATGTAGCAAGTGTGCGCGGACGTATTTTGGGTGTTGCATTTTTTGTGAAATCGCAAGAAAAGTTTCGAAATCCTGATAAATGAAATTGATTATTGGGGAACTAAAATATTGATTTATGCTTCTGTGGTGCAGGTTAGGTAGCTTTGATGACATCTAACATTGGGTCAACATCTTCAAAGCGTCTTGCTTGTTACTTTCATGTGGGTGGGAAGTTTGCAGAAAATGGTGATGGTGAAGTTAAGTACTATGGTGGAACTGTCAGGGTAAGAGTGATCAAGGAGGGTATAAGGCTTGAAGATTTGAGGGTTATGATAGGAGAATGGTTTGGTGTAGATAGTAATGGTTGCGACATTAAATACACATTGGGCTTGAATGATAAGATATTAATAGATCTTATTGATGATGATGAAGTTGACAACCTATTTGAGTATAATGATAGTAATGCACATGTTTACGTAGCAGCTAAAGGTAATGAGAATACGGAGGAAGAAGGGGCTGATCGAAACAGGTAAGTCACAAGTTTCGGATTATGGAAGTTGTTACTTGCGATAATGTTGTTGTTAATATCATAACAAATGTTGTAATTATACATGCAGCATGTCAAAATTGTCAGACTGTCACAGCAAAATGATGAGCCAATGATTGAGGATGCTGTCGAATGTGTGAATTACATAGCAGCTGAAAATGTTCTTAGCCTGCCATATGCAGTAGAGAGTGCACCAACTCCTTTGCCAGGAATGAATTCCCTGAAATGGAAGACAGTATTGTTAGGATTGAGGCAGACTTTTCCAGATGCGGATGATTTCAAGAAGAAACTACACAAATTCAGCATTGCAAACAAATTTGAGTATAAATATGTGAAGAATTCTAATGCCCATATGTATGTCAAATGCAATGTTGAAGGTTGTCCATGGAGGATCAGTGCAAGAGCAGCTGGAAAGAGTACTCCAGCATTTTTACGTGTAACGACATTCAAAAATGAGCATGTTCATAATGCCCAAGACAATCTTCATGTGACACATGGTGGATCAGCTAGCTTGACATCATCAATTATAATTGAAGAGGTTAGGGATCATATAGACATGCGTCCAAATGATATAAAAAAGAGGTTGGAAAGAGATTATGTGTGAAGTTGACATATAAGCAAGCATACAGGGCCAAGGAAAAAGCGTTGGAGGACATACATGGCAGACCTGATCATTCTTACATGCTTATTCCATGGATATGTGACCGGTTGAAGGAAACCGATGACAAAACAGTGGCAAAATGGGTGGCTGCAAGGAACAACAGATTTGAGCGTGTATTCATAGCCTATGGGTGTTGTATAGAGGGTTTTATTGCTGGTGCTAGACATGTACTGTATATTGATGGAAGTCATTTAAGTGGACCGTATAAGGGGACACTACTTTCAGCGTCGGCTTATGATGCGGACAACGAATTATTACCTTTTGCCATTGCGATTGTGAAGGGAGAGACGCTTGAGGATTGGACATGGTTCTTACATATGATCAAGGAGATAGTTGGGTCAATGCAATTAACAATCATTTCAGACCGACACAATGCAATTATAGGTGCTGTGCAAGCAATATTCGGAGGTGAGCGACATGCGTACTGTTACAGACATGTTAAGGAGAATTTCAGTACACAAATGATCAAGTTAAATAGAGGAAGAAGGAAGACAAGTGGCAACACAAGGGAGGATGGACTGCATTTCCTAGATGCCATTACATATGCAAGGCTTGACACAGAGTTTGATCAAGCAATGGATAACATGAGACACTTCAATTCCCAATTATTTGAATGGCTTGTCAATCATGGTGATATTCACAAGTGGGCCTTAAGCAAGTTTCCTTTTAAATGATGGGACAACATAACAACAAACCTTGCAGAGTCATTCAATGCATGGATGCTGAAGGAGAGAAGATATAATGTTGCCCAACTTATACATGAGCATCGTGAAAAAGTAGCCAAGAAGATGTATGCAGCAAGCATGGCAATGAGCAAATGGAAGAATGGTGTAGGCCCAAATACAAATGCAACATTGATGGAAAATGTGGCGAGATCTGCACAGATGTTAAGTGTTCCTTACGGAAGGGGTAGGGTGTGTGTCCATACAGCAAAAGGAGCCATTAATGTTGATCTTGGAAAAGGTGAATGTAGCTGTGCAGCTTGGCAAATGTCAGGCATCCCATGCCCACATGCATGTGCAGCTATCAAGGCCTTGAATTGCAATGTGTATGATTTTGTTGAAGAATGCTACAAGATTATGTCCCAACAAAAGATTTATGGTAGGACGATGACTCCAGTGGTGACAATCGACATGCCAAATCCTAATAACTATCGGCTGCAAGATATAGCAAGTCAAGTGTTTTTGGCACCACCTTTGACTAGTCGACCACCTGGAAGGCCTAGGATAAATAGGCAAGAGTCGCAGTTTCAAAACAAGAAGGTCTACCATTGTAGTGCATGCCAGCAAGTTGGCCACACAAGAAGAACATGCAAGAATCCAAACCCAACTTAAGGTTTCATGTCAATACCAACAGGGGTAATTTTTTTGTTATAGGAAAGGAATGACTCTTGAACCCTTTTTAATTTTTTTGGGAGAAGGGTTGATAGGTAGGCTATCTTTTTTGTTAATGATGTTAACTGGGTAGGAGATGTTCTGTAATCTGAATGACAAGAAAACATTAGGCGGTGGGTTAATCCTAATGTTAACTTGTCATTTGGATATCAGTTATGTAGCTTCTGTCATGGGCCTACTGGTTTTTAGTAAATATTATCACGTCAGTGGTCAATTCCTTTACAGATATAGTAAAGTCTGAATGTTAATGTAAAAATCGTATGATGGGTAGGCTATCCTTTTTGTAAATGATATTCACTGGGTAGGATATGTTTTGTAATATGAATGAGGAGGAAACATTAGGTGGTGGGTTAATCTTACTGTTAACTTGTCATTTGAATATAAGTTATGTACCTTCTGTGATGGGCCTACTGGTTTTTGGTAAATATTGTCACTTCAGTGGTAAATACCATTACACATGTAGTAAAGTCTGAATGTTAATGTAGACATCCTATGATGCTCTTTTGGTGTACTTCTATGCTATTTTGGCAACACAGATGACCTTTTGTTTAATGCCCTCAAGGGAGATGGTGGAAGTTGCCAATGGGTATGACTGGAGTGGTTAATGTCATCAATGATGTTGTTATTCACATTACCAATGTTGTTATTATCATTTCCAGGCTAGTGAAACTCCCTGAAAATATGTTACTTGACTTTGAAACAAAGGAAGTGGAAGTGGAAAAAGCAGAGTGGTAAATATCATCACTAAAGTTGCATTTAATATTTCCAATGTTGTCATTATCATTACGGGGGTAGTAAAATTTCCTGAACAATTTGATGCGTGGGTTTGACTTAAAGGAACCGGAAATGGGAAAAGCAGACTGGTAAATGTCATTACTGAAGTTGCAATTAACGTTTCCAATGTTGTCATTATCATTACGGGGGTAGTACAATTTCCTGAAGAATTTGATGCGTGGGTCTCAGTTAAGGGAACCGGAAATGGGAAAAGCAGACTGGTAAATGTCGTTACTGAAGTTGCAATTAAAATTACCCATGTTGTTAGTATCATTACAGGGGTAGTAAAATTTCCTGAACAATTTGATGCGTGGGTTTGAGTTGGGGGAACTGGAAATGGGACAATTTCCTGAACATGGGGATGCAAATGGGGAAACCATAGTGGTAAATGTCATTACTATAGTTGCAATTTCCCTTAACAATGTTGTGATTTTCATTACCCAGGTTGTGAAATTCTGTGACAATTTATACGTGGGGACGAAAATGCAGTTGCAAAAAGCAATAGCGAGGTGGTAACAATCATTAAAAAAGTTGCAATTTTCATTACGAATGTTGTCATTATCATTACTGGGGTAGCGAAAATGGATTCAAAAAATGTGATTTGGGCTTGAAAGACTTCAGATGCAAATGGCAACAGCGATGTGGTAACTATCATTACAGAGGTTGCAATTCTCAATCTGAAAGTTGTTAATCCTATTACTTATGTAGTGAACCTGGGTCCAAGTGGATGTAATTTGGGGCACAAATAATCAACTTGTGATTATCATCACGGAAGTCACATGGCATGTTGTAAATACCATAACTTTTTTACTCAAATTATCCCAAAAAGGATTGCAATTAGGCCAACAACTGGCAGCCACTTAGTACCTCCAACCATAAGTCAAATATTAAGACTTCAAACTAACACTCTTTTTACAAATACTATATGCCTAATCTACATAATGTCTCCTCCTATCACAGATGGCGTCTTTTGGTCAGTGTGGTGGCTTGGGTTGATGAAAGCAAGCTTAATGCTTCATCACGTCTTGAATTAAGCTCATGATTCACTAGCCACCACATGAGGTTTCGTCGGAATTCAGCCACTTGTTCATCCGTATAGTGAAGTATCTCACCGGGCTTCCATTTACTCAACCATATTAATACATGAACGCCGCAGTCTCGCCTGCACATCAAAACATCCCAACGATGTAAAAGAATGAAAATAACACATTGGGCTGCTTTGAGACGTAATAATATCAACAACATAAACCACTCACAGATTGTTTTGTTGCGGAACAGGAGCCCAAATGATATCACTCATTTTCTTCTTCCCAGTGGCATTAGGCTTAACTATCTCAATAATGTCATAAAATCTATTCCTCTGCACAATATCATTACGCAATTGTAAATAAAAGGTAAATGAAATGTCAATCATAGAAGATGAGTTGCATTATCCTTACACATTCAGTGACGACGGTCGTCATGTCATCAATAATTACACCCTTCTTCTTGCTCTTCTTCTTACCCTCTAAATTTGGCTTCATTGAGTCCAGCACATAGAAATTCATTGTGCTAGGCTCAAGCACAACACAGAACCAGTGAGCGCCAACAAGTGTGGGTCCAAAGATCAAATCACATTCTCCTATGTTGTAGCCTACATTTTCAGGTAAAAATTGTTTCTTCCGTTTTGTAGCATCCCACAGCTTTGGGTTAGCTGCCATTATTGCCTAAAACATGAACATTTTAGTCATTTATCAATATCAATCGACAAAAAACTAACATCTCAGCAAGCTTACCATAAAATCAGCATAAAAAATGTGCCGCTTCACCTGCCCTTCCTTCTCCATATCAGCCATTAGAGTCTTGCACACAGTTGACATCAGCTGTACGCAAAGAGATTATTGTTTTGATGAACCCAAAACGCAGCATCTACTAAACAATTAAATGACCTCATCACAAATATTCTACTTACCCGGTTACCTATTTTCTCAATTCCGCCAAGTGTCCTTAGCTGATCCCGAGTGATATCTTCATCAGAGATTTTCACCAAAGGCCTAAAAATATGTTGTCAATATCATTATACATGTAGTCAATTACCACAAAATTGTAATGAATATGATTACGTGGGTAGTGGATATGTACATACATGTCACCCTCCTTGCTTGAACACATACGGGAAACTATGTCATAAAACCGGTCCTTGTCATCCATGGGCCTCTTTCGCCTCTTAGTTGGCTTTGTCAAAATCCATGGAGAATTGATAGCGGATTTCATCTCCCTTTGCGATCTCCGGAGTTGACATCCCTTGTCCATGGGGGACAAGGGCAGGGGAGACTCCATAATTTCTTTGTCTGCACCTTCTGCTGCAACACCAATGTCATCACCCCTATCTGAGCCAGTTGCATCATCGTCTCCCTGATCATCTCCCCCGTGGAACTCATCTCTATCATCACCTTCGTCATCAGACTCATGTCCATCATGATCATGGGGGTCTTCATCGCCAAATGCATCATCATCTCCCTTATCATCATCTGGGACGTCAATAGGGTCCTCATCATCTGTGGTCACATTATTTTCCTCTATCCTTATCTGCACCTTATCTAGCTCATCTTCCATTGCACTTATAAGCCTCCTAGTGCTTAATTCGATCTGAGCCATCAATCGTCCGTGCAACTTCTGTAACTCCTGCAGCAAACAATTTAAAATGAGTAAACACTTTTTTCATGAGATTATTTGCTAATGAGAATGAAAATTAGTAACGAAAGCACATACCGGGTGTAAATGAGCCACACTTCTGCGTTTTCCTTCATCCTTCCCACTTCTATCCATACTTCCCTTGCCCTTATACAGTAAACCCCTCTTGCTTTCCCTCTCCTTCTTTTCCAGCTTCCTTATCCTCTCATCAGTCCAGAATTGAATGGCATTTAGGGACCCTCTCTCAACAGTTTTGGATAGTGGGAAGTGCTCAGCAAAATATAACTACAACAGTAAATCATTAACTTGCCAATTCCACAAATAAAGAAAACAATAACTTAGAAGCATAAGTCAGAAATACATACCAACAGGAGGTAGATGCATCCTCCCACATTGCAGCTTCCTTCATCTTCATCTTCGTCTTTCTTTGCTTTTGTGTACACTTTCACATAATCTCCCATCTCTTTCCACAAGTGCTTCACAATGTACGTGGCCCAATCAAATTGGTGAAATCCCTTCATGGTACAGCACATGACTCTTATTAGCTTGTCACTCACAGTTGTTTGTGAAGTAGGAGTTAAAAAACTCCCAAGTGTGTACAGCATAAACAGGAACTCAAACTCATCTTTCTTCTGCCCAGATTTAATGTCATTGAGTATCTTCGTATAAGGGACTTTACCAAATTCCTCCTTCAACCTCTGGTATGTCTCATCATCATCACATACGTCCATTTTTACCTTCTCCCCTGTGTGGGGTACACCCAACAAGTTTGCAACATCATTTGCTTCTATTTCCTTTATTATCCCTCTTATTAGAAATTGATGGGTAGGCGGATCATATGCTCGGAGAACACATACTATGAGGTCACGAGGGAGTCTCTCACATCCAATGTCAAGTAAATGGCCAAAGCCTAAATTTTGTACCCTCACTTTCAAATCTTCATCATCTTTTATGAAGTCCACTAATGACTTAAATTGCCGAACCGAGCAACGAGTGCTAAAAGCCACTTTTTTCTTCCTCTTCTTCTTCATCCCTTCCTTTCTTGATTGCTTCACCCTATCACTGTATTTCTTCTGCTCCTCTGGTGTCAACTGCTTCCATGCCTTTGATGCCTTTTTCGCTTGTTCAGACATATTCTTAAACTTCTCCCCACCCTTAAGAAATTCTCGTCTAAACAACATGTAGCCATTCTTCACTTCTTCACTTGGCCCTCCTTCTACAACAAGCATAAATAACTAAATCTGGTCAGTTGAACAGCTCAACTTTCTTTGCATTTCAAAAAAGTTGTCATTACCATTTCCAGTGTAGTCATTCACATTATAGGTGTTGTTATTTAGCCACAAAATGAACCTCGACTATTTACTACTCAGATAACTAAATTTGCTGATCACGTAATGAATGTTATTGCTTCTTTCTCACTTCACAGAACAGAGCAGAAAATAGAGACTAACGACATAATACACTTTAACAACAAACTAAAAACAATCTAATCTTACCAAACCTATATAACTCAACCACTTAATTCCTATTACAACTGCATATTACCGTTTGTCGCAGTCACAGTTACTTCGCCAACCTCCTCCATGACAGCAATGCGATTGATGCTTCTCAGCACTTCAGCGACCTCTACCTCTTCAATCCTCAAACCAGCAGATTAATCTCTACCTCTTCAATCCTCAGACCAACAGATTAAAAAATAAATGAATATGCATCAAAAGTGATTCTTTCTCGATGAAATGTTACAAAATTTGCATCTTCAAGTAACTTATATTATGGAAATTACTACTACACAGTGCCACAGATGACCAAGTAAATAATAGCAATACATAAGAAGGCCACAAAGGTTATTCTCACTTGGTACATACTGAAATGAATATGCATGTTCATCCCCAGGTAAATTGCACCGCTAAATGACTGAGGTTATGCCCATTAGGTAGCTATATCTTCAAAACAGAGTTCTACCCACGAAAAGTCACCCCTTTCAATTTATTTTACAATGTTAAATTTGCATAACCAATATGGGGATACAGTTGAACTCATTTTAGTCCCATACACAATGCTAAAAATGTGCAATGTCCATTACACGAACAGACCAAACAAGGGGGCGGAAACAGGAAGCATCCTGGCTCATGTGCGACAGTGGTCTCAATTTATGGGCATCTAAAAAGTAGTGTAGCAATCATAAACACACACGTATATTATGCCTTCCAACATTACAGCAACACAGCAATCAGACAACAACAATCAGAGAGATATCTCGTCAAACATGGACCGAGTTATATGAATCAGAGCAAGCAAGCAACTTCTGTAATTCCGTCACACACAGAAGCACCGACTTTTAATCTAATCTACCTTTACATTCCATTTTAAGCCTTTACCATTGCTTCCCCCTTTACAACCAACATTCACCGTTTTCCCCAAATTAAAACACTCCAATCAGACAAGCACAAGACGGAGACATTTGGGTGGCTTACCGGGGTCAGAACGAATATCGACTTCTTCCTCAACCGGTGACGACCTTACAGGTGCTCTCCCTCGGAATCTCTCTCTCTAGCCACCCCCTCTCCCTTCTGAAGATTGAAGCTTCTCACTGGTTTATTGCTTCTCACTGCGACCCACGAAAAAGACGAAGAAGCCGAACGCTCCTCCTTCACAGTTCCTCAACCATGGCAATGTGAGACTTGCGACAACCATATGCAGTTTTGCCGAGTGCAATGTGAGAGTTCAGAGAACCCTATGGTCTATGCAGTTTCGCCGAGTGGAGAACCGCCAACCAAACTCCAGTTCCGTTGCACAATATCCCACCCTCTGATTCCCGAAAAAATTGAAGGCATTTCAGTCTTTTTGGCGAATTATCCAAATTCCAGATTGATACCCCATGCCCATTTTGTCATTTCAGTAATTTACATGCCCATTTTGTCATTTCAAAATTCAACAATCATTTTCTTGTCATTTTCCCGAAAAATTGTAAAGGAATTTAAGGGTAATTTAGCCTAATTTAAGGGCTTTTATTTGGAAAATTCCAAATAAATATTTTAAGGAGGATAAAATCCCAAGAAAATTCCTATGATGTCCCAAGAAATTATAAGAAATTATGGGATTAAAAAGAGATCCTCACGTATCCGAGATTTTTCCTAATTATTTGGAAAAATAGAAAAATCAATAATGAGAAGGAAAATACTTTTCCTTTTTATTTAATTAATGAAACATTGGGTTTGAGCTAAAGAGGGCATTTTGGGAAGAGAAAAATGAGGAGAATAATTTATAGATATGAGAGAAAATAATTACAGACTAAAGCACTGTAATTATAGAAAAGAAATTAAACCCGGAACAAAAGTCCACCGATAAAGCAAGTAGAGTCTTGCACTTTACTTGGCCTACAAGTTGCCACTTGTCAAGCCACAATAGAGAGGATTTGAAGTTGCCAAATGTCAAGCCTTGATTAGAGAGGATCTTGACTTTTGAAATTAATTTCAATTGGCATTAAGTTAATTAAGTGAGAGGTTACAAGATTAAGTGGGTAAGTGACACATGGCATCTCATTAATGTTAATTGGTTAGATATTTTTGGCCTTAATCCACACACTCCTCCCCTCATTTTCAAATCACCATTCGGCCAAGGAAGAAAGAAGAGAGAAAAAAGAGAGTTTGAAGTGGAAACAAGAAGAAATCAACCACTTTGGATCAAGTAAGCTTGGAGTTAAGGTTAATAGATGATCCTATGTCATTCCTTGCTTGATTCTCTTTAGTTTGATGGTTGAAATTGCTGGTTTTTCTCTTTGTTTGGTGCTAGCCGAATTGGTTAATGTTAGGGGAAAGAAGTTTTGTTGCAAAACACAGTAAGAACACTATGATTTAAGATTGTTTCAAGTGATTGGATGTTGATTTATAGAGATTTCTTTGATGCTTCTCAAATGGTACTGTTTGGCCAAGACCAAAACTAAACCTTAGGATTTGTTTTTTAAATTTTTAAGGCTTCCATTGTGTTCAAAATGGAAAATGGTGTAGAATAAACCTAAAGAGCAAGTGTTGGAAGCATTAAAACCAAAGTTGCAGTTTTTGGATTTTGAACCCTAATGGTTCGGTCAGTTCAAAACTAAAAGAAGGAATTTGTCTTTTGGTTAAATCCAAGTAGATATTTAGAATCTAGATGAAAAATCATGTAGGAATGAACCAAGAGGGAATTTTTAGGGTTAAGGAAATACACTCTAAAAATTCAAAAACAAAGATGGAAGCTTTAGGGGGTTTAGGAGTTACTTGAATTATGTTGTTAAATTCATATGTAATGGTTGGTAACCTTGCTGCCCTTTTTGTGATATATCATGATTAGGATTTGTTAATTGTGGAGAAGAAGAAGAAGGTCAAAGAATCAAGAGCATTGGATTAAGGTAGTAAGATTTAATTAACTTTAATGTTGAGTGTTGTATTGATTGCTATGTAATTTCATGTGCTATTATGTGGTTGAGCTAAATGATGATGATGATGATGATTGTGTAGCTATACTCCTTACTTTATGTGCCTTGGCTATTGCATGTTAGAGTGCTATATGTATGAGGTAAAGTAGTTCCATATTAATAGCAAAAGGTTGGAATGCTTGTAATTGATGCATGTCGATGTTTTTGTTGATCGATCTTGCTACTGGGATTTCATTGAAATCTCATCCCCCATATGTAACTTAACATTTTAGGGACTAAATCATCAAAAGGGAGGCTATAAATCCAAGGATAAATATGGTGATAAACCATGAGGAAACATTTATATTTGGCTATGTATAAGTATGTATGGTTGGTGCTATAATCCCTAAACCGGGTGCCAAATTAGAGCTACGTTTTATTAAGTTCCCAAATGAATTTCTACACGAAATTTGATATGCTTAAATTTGACGTCATGAGATTCAAATAGATAGGCAGCACGTGAAAAATGGCCAACTACACGATTTGTAATGATTTTTCAAAGTTAAGGTTTAGAATCTGAAAAAAGGATTTTTGCCAGATGGACAGAGGTGACTTTCACCAAAACCTGAAACTTTTTCAAATGGAATTGGTTCATAAGATTAGTTTTTCTTGAAAGAGAATTTAAAGATATTTTTATAGAATTTTGAGCCACTCCATTTGAATTTTTCTAGATTAAGTTATGAATTTTTCAAGTTAGGTCAAAAAGCTGGATTTTTACCTGATGAACAGTAAAAATCCAAAAATCAGTATTTTTCATAGATTTTTGAGCCTAAGACCATCCAATGTGGTCTAAAATGGTTTTAATTAAATTGCAAGATGATATGATCGTAAGGTGTGATATTGTTGGTATCAGAGTGGAGGTTCTGACATAGGATGGAACGCTCTACTTAGTTAATATGTCAGTTAAAAGGAAAATTGACATATTGTCGCAGGAGAATACTACTGTCTATTGATTAGATGGTTCAGTTATTATAATGTAGGATGAAGTAGAATGGCTTATTGTGGCCACAATAGTGACTCAGAGACCAAGAGAACCTCTCCCTCAATGGTTTGGTAAGGATGAGGACTATAGCCTTGTAGGAGATTTCTACTATGATACCTTATGGGAGAGTAACTCTCCGCTTGACATAGCCATAGTTGCTTCTAATGATCCTCAGGCCATAGAGGATCTAGCAAAGTCAAACTACTTCCAACTATGAAAGAATTTCACACCATAGAGGACCTAGCCAGGGATTTTAGGGAGAGGGGCTGGTACATTAAGCCCGACGAGAATCAGAATGCCCATGTGTACCTGAGATATCCGGTGGATATCCAGAGGCTCTGCCATTATGTGACTAGGGAAGATGCTACCCTAGAGATGATGGACTAGATATTAGCATTGCTTAAAGTACTCCCTTAGATCTAGCTTTGGAAAAATGGTGTGAGAGACATTTGTAGTCACATGGATAGTGCTAGCTTCAACGATCTCATTGATGCCCTTGAGATCTCTGTAAGGAATACATTTCCTTTAGTAGATGCAGAAGACTAGATCCTGATGATGACGGATATGCTCCCATTCATATGCTAATAGTAGAATGAGTTCTATCGCTTGGATTAGACATTGGGATCCGATGTTGAGTTAATGGATCCAGAGCCTTGAGGACTTCATTTCCTATTTTGGGTATTCAGTTGGACTTTTGTAGCACTGACGTAGGACTTGTATTGTTACAGCTAACTATAGTAGGTTAGTCTGACATGCTTAATTACTATGTATGTTCCTAAGATGGCTATGTATGTTAAACTACATTGCCATGACTGATGATTGATGCTTGAATGTTGTATTATGAATGCATATGTTGTTAAATGAAATCCAAGCATGTTGTCTATTTCTTGTTCCTCTATTATGCTATCCGTTAAGTTAGCGTGATAATTAGAACCTGAAGAAACCCTTCACCAGAGAGACCCTCAAGACACGAGGTAAGGATCCATTCTGATCCAATACGATTAATTTTGGAACGCTTAGAACCGTAATAAAAGGCTATTGAAGGGTTGAGGGCTGCACAAACTAGCCAAGAATAAGAAATAGATGCTATAATAGTAGCAGCAGTAGCAGTGATAATGGCTAACCTTGACAGGAGGCAGCCAGAGGAAGAAAGCTTAACAGTGTAAGCAATAGAACATTTGCTAGATCAGCAATGCTAGCAGTAGACCCTGACAGCATCTAACAGTGGATGACTCGCTTTTGCAAGCA